GAAGGAAGAGGGACGAGCTCCCAAGTACCACTCGTATGTAAAGCAGACATCTCGTCAATCATAACCTGTCGTCATCCTGGATGAGGCAATGCTTCACCTGTAGACTTAGGGATGGAAACAGAGGATAAAGAAGATAGAAAAGCATAATAGGGTGATGACAAACGATGATAACTCAAACTGACATAATGGGGATTAGGATTAAGGGTGATCCGTATACCTTTCCGAAGTGCAATCGGTGTACTAGGAAGAGACAAGTCCGTAGGAGGAGCAGGGTCAGGTGCAAGACGTGAATCAGCTAGGCCTGATGCTCGGTGCAGACGACGATGATATGTCAAAAGTGGTGTTCCTGTGGCAAGGAGTCAAGGAGGAGCCACACTAGACTCGCCAACGGTTGGAATGGGTAAGACTTCTGTAGCGGAAGGTGAATGAGGAGCTATAGTAGACTCGGGTAAGACCTCTGTGGCGGAAGGTGAAGGAGGAGCTATAGTAGACTCCTTAAATGTTGGTATAGGTAAGACCTCAGATATATCAAGGTGGTCAGAATGGTCAGAAGAGGTAAAGAAAGGTTTTCCACGCCTAACTAAATGAAAGAAAGTAAGAGAGAGAGTGGATAGACTCAAAAAATGTGACGTCAGAGGACATAAAGTACTTACGAAGATCAGGTGAGTAACAACGATATCCCTTCTGAACACGAGAATAACCAAAGAAGACACACTTGAGAGCACGAGGAGCTCACTTATCTTTCCCAGGGGCTAAGTTATGAACGAAACAAGTGCTCCCAAAAACACGAGGGGGAACAGAGTATAATGGTGATTGGGGAAACAATACTACATAAGGTATCTGATTCTGGATGGGAGAGGAAGGCATCCGATTAACTAAATAACAAGCTGTGAGAACTGCATCGCCCCAAAAACGCAACGGAACATGAGATTCAATGAGAAGTGTGCGAGCAGTCTCAATGATGTGCCTATTCTCTCTCTGCAACCCCATTTTGCTGAGGGGTATAAGGACAAGAGGTCTGATGAATAATTCCTTGAGAAGTCATAAACTGCTGAAATTGAGAGGATAAATATTCTAAGGCATTATCACTGCGAAAAGTGCAAATAGAAACACCAAATTGATTTTTAATTTTAGCACAAAAATTCTGGTATATAGAAAATAACTCAGAACGATCTTTCGTTAAGAAAATCCAAGTACATCTTGAATGATCATCAATGAAACTAACAAAATAACGAAATCCTAAGGTTGAACTGACTCTACTAGGACCCCATATATCAGAATGAACTAAAGAAAACAGACTCTGCATGACTCTCAATACTACGAGGAAAGGAGGCTCGGGTATGTTTCGCGAGCTGACATGACTCACACTCTAATGTAGATAAACTAGACAAACTAGGCACCATCTTCTGAAGCTTGGATAAGCTTGGATGTCCTAAACATCTGTGAATTAGGTCCGGAGTATCTGTAACTAGACATGCCTTAGGAGGAATTGAGTGAGTTAAGGTAGTAAAGGCCTTCTGATTCAAGTCCTGTTCCAATCGTCTGCCCGGTACTGCGGTCCTGCATAATAAAGGAATCATCAATAAATATATACCACAATGGAGGGCACGAGTCAAACGACTAACAGATGCAAGATTAAAAGGACAGACAGGGACATAGAGAACGAAATCTAGAGTGACAGAGGGTAGGAGATTCGCTTGCCCAACTCCTTTTGCTTTGGTTTGAGACCCATTGGCTAAAGTAACAGTGGGAAGAGACTGTGAATACGCAATATTTGACAAAAGTGATTTATTACCAGAGATATGATCAGAAGCAGCTAAGTCCACAACCCATTGTCCAAGAGTACTAGACTGGGAAACACAAGCAAAAGAATTACCAGCAACAGAAGTATCAGTCTGAGCAACATAGGCTATTTGTGGAGATGTCTGCTTACTTGCTCGATACTGAAGGAACTCATTATACTCCCTTTCAGATAAGAAAAACCCTGGTTACCTGTAGTCTCAGTCGGAGCAACATAAGCATTTTTGGGTGGGCAACCATGTAAAGAATAGCACACGTCACGAGTGTGTCCAAATTTATGACAATAAGAGCACTTGGGTCTAGATATTCCAAAACGATCTCCTCCTCGTCTATTCTCCATAGTATGAGATGTCCGATTGTCCACTGACTGGGATACGAGGACAGATGAGTCAAGTGTTTGTGATGAGCTCACTGGGGGACTTGGTGCTGCAGCAAGGCGAAGTAATCGAGAGAATAATTCATCAACTGTGGGGACAGTCGGNTATCGCCACAGGATACTACATAACTGAGCATCGACCTTCTCCCATAGTGTTTTGGCCTTTTCATCACCTTCGCTAGCCTTTTTTGTTAAATGATCTTGAACTCCTTGACCTTTACACCACAACTCGACAGACGAAGCCCAAGCTAAGTAGTTTGAACCTCCCATTAAAGGTTCTGAGGTAATCATAACACTGGAATTGCCAGAACCCGAGTTTTTAGACCCGAAAGCATCTACTCCCAAAGACATCGTGAAAACTCGCTGAAACAAATGAAGGAAACATTGTTTTTGCCGGGAAATTAATGTAGCTGCCGGAAAAAATCAGTGTAGATGCCGGAAAAAACTCAAAGTGGTCGGAATCAAACGAAAACAGGATGGGTAGAGCCGGAATTAGTAGCCGGCCCAACTGTTCTGAAGATCCGCCGTCAAAAAATGGCCGTAAAGGGCTCCACGCGTCGGCGCATGAAGCAGATCTCGTTGGAAAAAAAATCCTCCGGGCGGCGCGTGGCGGCGCGTGAGAGGTTGTCTGCCGGAGGTGTTTGATGGGGTTTGGTCGTCGATGGTTGGGGGATGTTGTGGTGGTGTTGGTTTTTGCACAACACCGATGGAAATTGATTTTTTTTCGAAAACAACCCTAAAAGGTCGCCGGAATTGATGCACGGCGACTGTTTTGGGTGAGTTTTCTTTCCCGGATGTTTTTTCACTGCTGCTCTGATACCATGTGAGAATGCAGGGGAGAAAATATTATTGATATTATTCTCTTATGTTAAACACTATACAATGAGCCCTATATATATATATATACATAACATGTCCTACTCCTAATACATATGGGATTAAGGTTATTTACTCCTATTTACATAACTATTCTAAAAGTAGATATTTAACTGATCTCAACTTCACTATCCTGTTGTCTTGCTGTATTAGGTGCGCAATGGCTCTTGTCCATCAAAGAGTTAGACGGATATTTTTTTCCTTCCCAAATTCCAATGCTGGTGCACTAGGAAGTGTTCACAGATTGCAAGGGGAGAGGAGCTTGAATCACCATTATGCTGTTTTCAGGGTTGTTTTGCCTGAGGAGGTGCTCAGGAATAAAGTTGTAGATGCAAAAATTGCTGGGTGTGGTTGAAGCAAGCACTAATCAGCTTTTGAAGAGGTTAGGTCTTTGAGACTTGGTTAAGTCGGATAATAGTTAATTTGGATACTTCTCCTTGATACATGTACATTCAGTCTCCTTTCTGACGTATAAGTACTAAAAGTGTTAGTATTAACTAGAGCTTTAAGTGTTAAATTTGTAATCCTTTAAATAGGGAGCTGCCCATTTCATTAGCCACAAAATAGCCCCCAAAAAAGAACAAAAGGAATGAAAATATGTTGGTTGGCATGCTCCTTTAAGCAACTTCAGATATCTATGTATTTGAACTCTGGATTGCTTTTTACTGTGGGTCTCCATGATACCCTTTATAAGCCATAGGCTGTTATTTTATGTGTACTTAAGCTACCTTTCTGCTCTCTCAGGTTCACAATTCAAGTTACGCTGACAACTAAATATTTGCCTAGTTGCTGATGATCTGTTCCCCTTATTGGGTATTATGCCAAGTTCGCAATACGCATCAGGATGGACAAGCTAAGTCTTGGAATTGGACAGCTGTTTTAACTATTCTTTATTTCATATTTACAGAGCTGGTGTAGCTTGAGTTTGTAATCTTTCCGAGAAAGACTGTAACATTAATGTGCATTAGTACTATATCACTCTGTATCCCCCTCGCCAACTAGAGAGATGAAAGAAAAAGGATTATTTATTTTGACAAGGTCTGGAGATCATTGATTTGTCATGCAAATGGTTACTTTGAGATAATTCCTGTAAATGACGAATGCCAAAACCATCACCTGACAGCAAATCAATGTTGCCTAGCATCATCGGATGACTTTTTTTTGAAGCTTTTGTCAATTAATTAGTTTATATTAAGAATATCGCGAATTACAATAAGCAATGGTATCGCAAGGTGAACAATCAACCACATTCTGATAGTTGCTGAAAGAGAGATATAATGGACAATACATTTAATCCTTAGTCGCAGTTCCCCTTAATAGGACAACAAAGGAGATGGATATGATACTCTGGCTATTAATCATTTCCATTACAAGCACATAATTGATACTCTCTAGCTTTCATTGGATTATCTCGTAACAAATTTTCCTTAAAGCACAACTGGTAACCCTTGAATAACATCATGTCAACGCAGGTCCTGGATGTAGAGTATGGTCAGTGGTTTTGAAATACAACTTTCTCTAAGAGACAGGTGTTGGATTTCATGTACTGCCCCATCACTGTATTATTAGCCCAAAATAATTGCAGTGAACCTATGAGGTATTGCAGTGACAAATGGACAAAGACATCAGTCTAACCATGAATACTACTCTTATTCACAGGAGCAAAATTAACAATATGTGAGTGCACAACAAGTTCAAGCTTGGATCTTAAAAAAGGTGAAAAGCCTAGGGATGTTTTCTTACAGAAGAAAACCTACAGTTTCAAAGAAAGAACCAGGCAACACACAAGTCAACACAAGAAGCGCGTGCTCATTTTGGCATTAATTTCTACTGAGAATTAATGCTAAGATTTTCATCCTCCTTCAAGATTAATGCAACATTTCTTCGATAGAAGATCCCCTCAGTACATGCCGATCATTCAAAATAATAGAAGCAGCAGAAACAGCTGTGGCCATCTAGACAAATCAAATATCAAGCCCAGTAACCAGGCGCCAAAACTTTCTCCATTAATCAAGATAACATTCTGTGCAACTCACGTTTTATTCACAGTTAAAGTACGGGAAGACTAATCCAGCATTGAAATTTTAAACTATGCCTCTGTTACAAGAACTATGGGCGACAACCTGAATAGAGCTTCAACGGGGAGAGAGAGAATCTAGTCCAAACCAACCCTTGTATGTGTATCCAAATATATAGGATGTCGACGAACTCAAATAAGAAGTTCTTATCCCTTTAGATCATAGAGCTTCAGGAT